TTTGACCTAGGGCTGGGGGTTAGTTAGAGAGGAGGTACAGAAATAAAGTAGGTGACCGAATGAAGAGTATTGGTGAGAGTGTGGTTTAAATGGTCAGTGATGGTATCCAGATTGAATGGGGGAAGGGAATGGCAAGCTAGACCCGGAAAATCAGAAGTTATTAGGCAATTGTGGGTCTCAGAGACACAGAGGTCAATGGAAAGGGATGAGGAAATGGGAAAACTGAAAGTGGAATAAGAGTGGAGATTCTCAAAGTTGTCAACACATGTTCCTGTTGGGGAACACTATTGAAATTAATGGAGTCGAGCTTAGAGCTGAGGACCTTACAGTGAAGGCTAACTATACACTGAGACTGTCTATTCTGCCAGGACTACAGCATCACTTAGGGTGGGCAGGAGGCATGTGTACCACATGCAAAGTCCTCTGTGGCTGTAGGGGAGTGACCAGGGAGATAGAGGTGATGGACAAAGGAAGGAGGCGTACATATTGGATGCTGTGAGTTTTAAAGTCAAAGGGGCTTTTGAAGAATATTCTGAAATGCTTATCTGGATGTGGGAGTGGGAAATAGGTGGAGAAATGCTCCTGAGAGCTGAAGGGAGAGCTGAATGAAGAATAAAAGACTGGAAAAATCAGGGAAATGGAGAAGCACAAACCTTGAGTGGCATGGACTCAATCAGCTTCAGAACTGCAAAGCAGTGTAATTATACATGATTTGGTCAATGCCTGGAACACAGCAGGTGCTGAATAAATAGTTCTTCAGCTAATGCCTTTGCTTCTAGAATTAAAATATATTTTTTTTTACTCTTCCTACTTGATTTCCATAACTTAATCTTAAAGCCTTCTGGTTTACTGGTAGACAGTTTCCAGGCTTTTTCTCATGATAGATTACAACTAGATGACTCAGTGCAATTCCGTTTCCTTTATTGCCTTCTTCTTTTGTCTAGGAACCCTTTCCCATAATATTTCTGAGTGCAATTCTATGAGTTAGAAAAACAAAGACATAATATTTCTAACTTCTTGCTCTAAATTAATAAGTGGTGATACTTTTTTTTTTGTGATAAATCACTTTGAAGTTTACAAATTATTACCTAGGTTAGGATAACCTAGGAGCTGGTCAAGATGGAATTACTCTTCCCAATTTTGTATATAGGCAGCTTAAACAGGTCCTGTGACTTCCCAGTCCAGCTTCCACAGTCTAAATATGGGAAAATTAGACTCCTTGTACACCAACATGGACCGTTTGCATCCCAAGTCTGAATGACATGACCTGGAATAGGGAGTCCTTGAATTTTACTTGGGACTTTTTCGAAGTACAGATTCAATAGGTCTGGAATGGGATTCTGGAATCTGCATCTGAGCCAAACAATGGCTTGTGTTTCAACGGCCATATTCAGAAAAACACTAATCTAAAAACTCCCTTTCCCTTCTCAAAGGGAGAAAAGAGCTGTTCTCACCTCTTACCAATCAAAGAATTTTTTTTTTCTTGGAGAAGTGGAGCCCCCAGCTCTTCTCTTCTGTGACCTACCCACACACTGATAAAGTTAATTATCTGCCCAGGCTAAATGACTTTCCCTAGCAACACCCTAGCAACTAACATCAGCTCTGTCGTAGGCTACAAACCTGGAGAGAGATTTCTTGAAGTCCAGTGTATTTTACAACAGAACAAAACAGCTGAACAGGAAATTAAACGGAAAGTAAACTGGATTATTGCTAGGAGATGAGACACAGACACAAGAAACTGTTCATGACAACCCACCAGAACACAGTAGTCAAAATAAGAAACTTTTTTCCTTTAACTTCTACCGAAGCCCATAGGAGACTATAGAATCTCACTTCAGGAAGGAAAGGAGAGAATTCAAATGGGCAGAGGAACGAAAGCATTCTAGGTGCCAAATCAATAATGAAAGTGGGGGCACCATAAAGCCAGCTGGACAGTGCAGGGTGCTCAGACCTGCAAGTCATTTGAAGATCTTGGAATGAGTCAGAGAGCACTGGGAGGCCATGAAATACTTACCGAACCCTACTATGAACCTGGCCTTATGATTTGGGGGTCGTCCCAGAGACAGTCCCTGCCTCCAGAGTTTAAAGCTTAGCAGCCGGGATAGATACTGACCAAATACAAATTTAAAAGTCAAATATAACTATAAACCTTGAGAATATTAAAAGAGAAAAGGTACAAGATTCCAAGAGAGTATATAAGGATGAATAGGATCTAATCCAGGAAATCAAGAAGGACTTCTCCGAGGAAGCAATTTTGCACTGAGAGCTGAAGCATGCTTAGGCATTGTCTGAGAGAGGATGGTTGGAAAGTAAAGTGCTCTGGATTCCAGGCAGAGAGACCGATACAGGAGACCACGTGAAAGATTTTCCCTTTGTTCTGAGAGTCTTGACAAACCACAGAAAAAGGATTTTAACCTCTGGATTGACATTAAATCTGCATTTATAAAAGGAACACTCAGGCTTTGGGGAAATAGACAGACTGGAGGACAGTCTAACAAGGAAGCTGAACTGTGATGACTAACAGACTGGTGTGGTGGCAGAGGAGACCTGGGACTTTAACGATGTGTGGAGAGAGAGGAGCGGTCTCAAGTGATAGCAGATCCAGGTTAGGGAATCTAGCTCAGGCAGTGGGATGGGTGCTTGATGTGCTGCCTACAGCCGGCTGCCATAACTCAGGGGGTGAGGTCCACACTGATAGTGGGAAGAACCCCGTTTTGGTGTTCTTGGTGACATCTGTTTTGAATCCAGGTTCTTTTCCCCACCTTGACAGGTAATTTTATAGGTCCCTAACCTGGAACTAGCAGAGGAGGGGAAATGGAGCCTCTTAGTTTATATGGTTTTCCTGCCAATGTTAAACAAAAATTAACTATTTCCCTAAACAAAAATTAACTATTTTCCTATTACCTTCCTGCCTAGTCTTTATCCATCCACCTCCACATTAGGTTAGAGTATGCTGACTTAAATGAAAGGACATTCAGGAGCATTTTTTGAACTAATATAAGCTCTGTGAAGACAAAAACTACATTTTATTCATATCTGTCCTCCAATAAAATCAGGTATACTCTGATGAACCACTTATTTTAGTTTGTAGCACATATTACATTTATAATTTGAAAAGATTCATGTATTTTTTCTGTTGCTATCAAAATTTACTTAAGCCTAACATTGAGTGATTTTTAACTATGTATTTAATATTTGTCTTTCCCATGGGATTGTAAGATTCACAAAGGCAAGTAATACATCTGACTTGTATTCCAGACCTGAGCCTGTAGAGAACCTTGATATGAAGGAATGGATGGATTTTTGTTCCCACTGGCACCCACTGCTCAGCACAGACCTGGCCCCAAACTACACTCAAGGAAAGCTTGCTGGGTTAGTGGGGCTGTGCACCATAGTGACTAGCATGAGCTCTGAGCCAGCCCAGCAACCCTGAAGATAATTCTCAGGATGCAGACGTGAATCTGACTGTCACATTGACAAAGGAGGGCCCATCAGCTAGTCAGGTGCTGCCAGAGGGTCAAAAAGGGTCAAGGCTGAGTAAAGACATTCTCAGTAACCTCTGCGGGAAGGCACCCAGGTAATAGTGGCAGTGGGAGTACTAGCACAGACCAAAGCGTGGGCCAGTGAGCAGGATAGAGCCCTACAAATGAAGGTGAATCTTCTGGGATCTTTGTTAGTTATGTCAAAGAGAAAAACTTGATCCAGAAAGGAAAGGAGACGGCTTTTAAAATATAGGCTCTTGACAGCCCAGGGTAAAGAGGAAGGGAGGTAAACAGATTCTGAGAGCACCTGGGGAGGGTGCTTACGCCCCTGGAGGAGGGGAGAGAGGGACAGGGCCTCAAGGTGGGCATGGTCTTCATTAGTTGGAGCAGTGGAGTGAGGGTGATACTGGAGACCAGGCCAGGGTGTTTTATGTGGGTAGTTTCATATAACTCTAACACCTCTTCTCCAGAGCAAGAAAGTGGCATCTGGAGAGGTTAAATAACGTGCCGTGTCTACAGCCCAAGAGCCACAAGACTAAGATTTGATTTGGGTCTTTCCCGGAGGAACACTGGGTGAGATTCTTGCCCCTGGGCTTGGGGTTGGTGCCTGAGGCTCTGCACAGTGAGCCCACAGGCTCAGCACCTCTGAAATTATCTGCCCCTGAGGACTGAGAAACTGAACGAAAGTGTTTTAAGTCAGAAACAAAAGCCAACCCCTAGTCAAAGGTTTTTCATTGACATTTTCAAACCTCCTTCCCTGGCTTACTTGAGGGCTGTCGTGGGCACTTTTTATCTTTGTGGACTTGGTCCCCCATGAAATAATGGTAAACATTACATTTTACTACTCTGTAGATGTAGTAGACTAGTATAATATGTTAATATTATACAGTAATTTTTTTTTACCTAAATAATTTTTATTTCCGTTTTCAAAGCAACCTATCCAGGGCAGTCCAGGATTATCAGAGGCACTAAACATGGGGTACTGGGCCCAATGGAGGGGTCGTGCTGCTGCCCCCCGCCCCCCATCCTCCAGCCTCACCTGTTCCAACACGGCCAGGGAAGCACACAGAGTCAGCTGGTCATGGCATCTGACTCACCTTCAGTTTGGGCTGCAAACCTCACTTGCTCATCTGTAACATGAATGAAAGTGATGCTGTTTGTTGTATGCGATGAGAGACAGTGGAGATTGTGAGCTCGTGGTGGAAGTAAACTGCCCAGCATGTTGGCAAGCTCACAGCAGGTGCGTTACAAAAGTTAGTTTTGTCTGTTCCCTCCTTTGAGCACCCTCCTCCACAGGGTCCAGGGTGTAGCCAGGAGTTGGGGTAGTGGTCTGGGTGGTGGACTGATCCCGCCTCGACCCCATAGACCTTATGATTTCCTTGCCAGACTTTGGGAATCCAGAGTCGCAAAATAAACACCATCGCGCCGCTAATCGCCAACTCGGAAACAAAACAGCGCTGCGCTGGGGGATCTGGGCAAAATCAGCCCTACCCCCCACCCCCTCCTCCTCCTCCTCCTCCTCCTCCTCCTCCTTCGCCGCCTCCCTCCCTTCCCCGCGCCGCTCCGCTAGCTCAGCTCTGCTCAGCGCAGCGCAGCTCCGCAGCCGCCTAGCCGAGGCGGGCACGCTCGCGCCGTCGCCAGCATCAGCTCCAAGCTCCCGCTCCCCGCCGGAGCTCCGTCAGGTCTCGCTTCTGCGGGGTCCCCTTCGGGCAGCAGTCGAGTAGTGAGAGCCGGCAGCTGCGGCACAAAGTTGGGGGCCCGCGAGGATGAGGCTGTCCTTAGCGCCCCTGAGGCTCAGCCGGGGTCCAGCGCTGCTGGCCCTGGCGTTGCCCCTGGCCGCGGCGCTGGCCTTCTCCGACGAGACCCTGGACAAAGTGCCCAAGTCGGAGGGCTACTGCAGCCGCATACTGCGCGCCCAGGGCACGCGGCGCGAGGGCTACACAGAGTTCAGCCTCCGAGTGGAGGGCGACCCCGACTTCTACAAGCCGGGAACCAGCTACCGCGGTGAGTGGCCCTAGTGAGGCGTTGGGGGCGCAGGACCCGGCTCCCGCGGGCGCCGACCGCACGGGGCCGGAGGAGGGCGCACGTTGCCGGGCGCCCAGCGCTGGCGCAGCCGGGCAACTGCCCCCTGTGCCCCGCCTGTCCTCAGCCCTTTTGGCCGCGAGCTCTGGGTGGGTCACGAGCTAGTAATGTCCAGGCTGTCGTGGCGGCCGCTGCCAAGCGAGGCGCCCCCACGTCCGACGCGCGGTTCCCGGGCGTGGGCTGCGGCGGGGAGACGCTACGCACCGGCCTGGCTGCGGGGGAACCTGGCTTCTCTCCCGACCCGCTCCACGACAGCCGTAGACACCCGCCTTTCTGCACATCAGTCTCTGGGCTGGCGGGGGGCCTGACTCTCCCAGCCGGGTCGCAGACAATGCGTGACACCGGCTTTCCCCGCTCCCGTTCCCGAAGGAGGAGGTGTCAGCTTCTCTCAAACCGGCCCATGGCGGGACGGTCACTTCAGTTTCCACGCACAGCCTCCTGGAGAAGGGACTAAGGCTTCGCTCTTAATGCATCCCGGGCTGGGCAAAGAGCAGGCGAGGAGCCTGCGGCTTATATATATAAGGGACTCTGGAAAGAACTCCAGGCTATTCTCTGCTGGTCCTGGGCGAGAAGACCTGGATTTCTAAGACAGGGTGCGGGTGCAACAGCCTCCAAGAGCCCAAGAGCTTTGGGTAGCTCCGGGAGGGCGGGGGTTGGAGGAGGGCGGTAGAGACCGGAGGGAAGCCCGAAGCCCAAGGCCTGTTCTCTGGAGGTGGGGGCACGTTGTGCTCCAGAACCCCGGAGGCTCCGCGCGCCTCGCCCCTCAGCCCAGAGCGCGCTTTCCGGAGCGCAGGGCGGGCTGTCCAAGCGGCGGCGCGCCGCCTGGCAGGACAGGCAGGCCGACCACAGACTCCTACTCCATCCCCACGGCCCGCCGCCGCCCGCCCAGCCTAGCGGCCTCCCAGATATCTTTGTTACGCGCAGCAACCCCTTTTCCCGGGTTGGGAAGACAGGCCACCGGCAGAGGAGGACGCCTGGGCTCACCTGGGGTGGCACGGGCAGGGAGTGACGGCTTGTGCCCGCAGCCCCTGCCCCTTCACAAGCTAGCTGTGGTGCCAAGTCGGGAAGAGCGGGTTTGGGGGGCAACCGGTGGGGCAAAAGGGTTCCCATTCGCCGCTCTCGCGCCCCTGCCTTCCGGGTTCCCAGAACGCCACAGGAGGAAGAGGTGGGGGCAACATTGCAGAAAGTTTGGGGCGGGGGGTGTCAGCCTTCGCCCGGCCACCCCGGCAGCCAGAACTGAGGCCACCCTTCGCGGGACGTTTTTCGCGTGTTCCTGGGTTCAGGTCCCGGACTGTCACCACGAGCAGAGGCGGCCGCGGGGCGCCTCGGCGCAGAGACGCGCTTGGCGCGGGCGGCGGAGCCGCCCTGACCCCGCTGCGCGGGTCGGCTGGACGCTCCGCTTCGGCGCCGCGGAGGTCGGCTGAGCACACCCCGCCCAGCCCCGAGGGGACGGGCGTGTCGGCCGCGAGTTCTCGGAGCTAACCGTGCAGACCAGCGGCCTCAGTCCCTGCTTGGAGTTGGGGGAGGCGGCCAGGTCTCTCCGTGGACGAGAGGGAAGCGGGAGGAGTCCCACTGTCCTCTCCCTGGAGAAACCACCCTAGCTCCACGTGGCAGGGGAAAAGGTGACTCTAGAGTCAAACGGACTTAGTAGTTGTGTGACCTTTAACTTCTCTGAATCTGTGCCCCCAGTTGTGAAAACAACTTTATCCAATTACGTTGGGTGACTGTGGAGACTAAATGAGTTTACAGTGAGAAGCGTGCATAGACAACACGTTTATTTCCGTGAAATGCGGGCACTTTATGGCATAGTGGACGGATGTACTTGGTTCGACCTGGATTGTGTCCACACTCTTTTGGGTGATTTAGTCTAGCTTGGACCCCCTATGGGGTATCTCTTTCCCCCACTAATCATTCCTCTGTTTCACTAAGCCCTGGTAGTGGTAGCCCCAGCACTAGGAGAAAGGGGCATCTGGTATTCACAAGGCAAGTGAGGTTCTGAGATAGCTTAAGTTACTAAGTTACTGTGTCCCTGGCTGGGAAGGGAGAGAGCTGGGGTGGGGGGGGGGGGAGATGGGTGCCACACTAGACTTCCACCCTACAGGTTATTCCAGCCTAAATTTTTAGCCTTTGGGCGGTGCACCCCCCCTTCCCCCATTCAGGCTGTAGATCTTGAGAAAAAGATCTTACAGGCACCATGCTGAGGTCCTCTGAGTAAATACTCTGCGATTAGCAAACCTGATTCTGCCACTCAGGAAGAAAAAGGATGATGGCCTACTTTGTGACTTTTTCTGTTGGCTTGGACTTTAGAATAATTGTACTAGAAATAAATCTAATGCCTTCAGTCTAGTGTGTTGGTTTTAGGCTGTGGAAGTTACCATCCCCTGCTGTTCTGTTTGTTTTGTCCTCCCTCTCCCCCATTAGGACCCTTGGAGCCAATAGATTTTTTTTTCCTGCCTCAAATCTTTGTCCTCAGTATTCCAGTTCATCTTCATATAGCGTTTTCTGCCCATGTCCCACCCCCACCCCATTTGTCCTGTATAGCCTTTAAATATTCTAGGCTGAAAAAAGGGTCACTATTTTAAAAAATGGTTAAACATGGAGTTTCTTCTCCACAGCCAGGATCCAGTTGAGATTATTATTCAGCCCTTTCCAAGTTGTTAGTATTATATTGACTTCCTCCTTTCTCCCACCATTTCTTTCTGCTCTCCCAACCCCCCTCCCCATCTCCCTCTTTCTGCAATAATTGTGCTTTAGAAAGCTCTGAAAGGCTGCCCTGTTTCTGACCATGGCCTCCTTTGAAAAGGAGATTACAGTGATTAAAAATAACAAGTTGAGGATCCTCAAGGGGCTTCCCTTATAGGAGGACAATTTACTGGACCGGCCATTCCCAGATCACAGTTTCAAGCCAAATAGAAGAAAATCAGCTGAAATGTTCAAGAATTGATTGAAAATAAAAGAGGCTCTTTTGTTTGACCAAAGGTCTCTTTAGTAGGAAAATAAAGCCAAACCCTGGCTAATGAGAGTGGCTTTTCCTAGATGCTCTTTAAAGAGAAATTTCAAGGAACTTGATGGGAAAAAAAACGTCCAGTAGAGATTTCAAAAGCTGGTCCAACTTCAAGCATCACTGGGGGATTTATTCTAAACTGCAAGGTTTGGAGAGCTTCAAGATGCTTTGTCTTCTCTTTCTTTGTTCTGGGGTATATCCTACCACAAGAGTATGTGTCCCACCTCAGCCTGGAGGAAAGACACAGGCTGTGATGTTGGCTAGGTTGTTTTCAATTACCGCCACTTCATCTTTTTGAGGCATAGATTCTCCATTTGTAAAATCAGAGTGCTTCTCCCAACCTCATACCCAGTATTTGTGTGAATTAGGAAAAATCTGTGTCAAATGAAACTGCCATACAATAGCTGCTATTAAAATATGTTATAAGATGATTATTTTGGCAATAGTAAAGTACTTAACAATAAGACACTGGATGAGACATTGTGTCAAGTACACCTACCTACTCCTTACTTTGATGCAATTTACTATTCTCATTTTACAGAGAGGAAGTCTCAGAGAGGTTTAGTAACTTTGTCATGGTCACATAACTAATAATTAGTGGAGTTTAGAGTTTAACTCTAAATCTGTGCTTTTAATCTGTCTTCCATACTGACTCCATAAAATAAAATGGAGTAGTATGAATTCACTGAGCTACCCTCAGCCTTCTCGATAATGAGTCTTCCAGTAAAGGAAAATAAAATCAACAAACCAAAGTAATAACTGATATATCCTAGGACATAAAGTATAAAGTGACAGGTTCTTGTTTACTTGTTTTTCTTTTTCTGGATTTCAGTATTGCATTTCCCCATAAACCAAAGGATTCACTTAGAAATATGAAGAATCTTGTCAATCTGTAGCCAATTCCTTTTGTTTGTGGGGAAGCCAAAAGAAACTGGACAGGGAAATGAAAACTAACTTGACTGATATTTTGTTTCTACAGGGGTTGTTATATGACCATGCCTATAGTTGTATGTTTGAAAGTCCATAGGTAGAATCTGAGAAGTTTAAACTGGATGAGGGTTTTTAAACAAACTATTTCTGACCTACTGTTTTTTTCTTTAAGTCCTGTTGATGATGTAATTAATTGTAAGTCACCCCTCCCACCTCTTTTCTTGCACCATTCTCTTCTTTTTTATTCATTAACTTTATGTTTTACACCTTGCTCCCTTAAATATTTAGTTCAAATTGATAATAGAAAACAAGAGGTGCATACATATTAAATGATTAGTGCCTACAGAGATTATTGTTTTGAGTTTAATAAAATGCAAAACATCAAAGGATGAAAAAAATGAAAGTACACAAATTGCAGTTTTTCAAGATATGAAACTTGAGTGCTCCCCACACATAGTTGTTGTTCCATTATAGCTGATCTACTTAATCAGAATAGGCAGTAATTGCTGATTTGTTCACAAACTCGGTCTAAGAGGTCTAACAGATGAAGAACTTTTCACTATTACAGTCTTCATTTGCTTGTTATACTGAATGTTGTATGTTGGTCAATGCCAATTTCTCTGGGGGGAGGAGGGGAACTTCTTACTGTGTTATTTTAGTCAAGATAAAGATTTAAGCTTAAGCTATGAAGAGACAACACACACTACAGTACTTTAAACAGTATTTCTATTGGACAGTGTTTATTTCTATTGGACAGTGTTATTCTAGAGTATTCATGTCACCATGGTCATAGCTAGCTCACTATCAACACAGCTGAGTTCTGGTCAGCATGCACGGGGAGAAGTAGAGGAAGAGCAACTTTCTTCTATTTAGGGGACCCAAAAATTGCACCCAGCACTTCAAAATGGAAAGTTCAAGAGGATGGACAATTTTGCTCCCTGAATTCAACCACGAGCCCAGGTTCCTTCTATCTCGTTGCTCTGCCATC